AACCCGAAGCAACGTTACCTCTTACTGGATTTGTGACAGCAATCCATCCCAAGGTTGGAGGCTAAGATTTGCCGGTACCAGCTTGAAAGCAATATTTAAAGTTCAATTCGACTTCGCTCTAGGACTTATTATTATACGATCGTATCCAGCCAAATGAAAAGTTTTTGATTGGTTCAATGACTGATGTGATAAGTTCTTGTCCAAACCTTCACCTCGGAAATGAAGATCGGCTTCCACAATGATTTCCACCACTTCAAATTCTACATTATAAACCCCAAGTTGGGATTAACTTGGAGAAATTGTACCGTGAGAAGCGCTTGGTTCATTTTAATCGATACACAAATCAATATCTGTACTGTTAACTTCAGTTTTATTGGAAGATGTTAGCTTTAACAGAATCAAATTTAGAGTATATGCATGTCGCCAATAGATGGTGGGCAAATGTATTACAGGAATAAGGAAATCCGCATTTGGGACAATGTTCAAAGGAAGTTTTATTCCTCCGTTGGAATAGTATACATAACTGCATAAGGTTATCATGAATGAGTAACTCCAAAAATCTCATATTCCGCCTACCTTGAGAAAACATTTCCAAAAAATCAATAAGGACCATTTGCATCTGCCCTTTCATTCTATAGAAACATTAAGAAAAGTTGGTAGAGAATTGATAGCAGTCTCATCCAGACAGTTAGTACCAAGGCTGGTCTATAACATATAGACGACTCAAGATTTCTAGCTCTTGCGGAAATGCCACTGCCAGAGAATTCCTATTCATACTGTCTTGATACACCAGTGATCTACCAACGATTCACGAATACCTCGCTCCAGGTTGAGTATTACGATTATAGAGTGTTTAAAGAATGAGCAGTAACTTAGAAAGCAGGACTCCCCGGGAGAGCGTTATTGCTGGGGTCGATTACAGTCTCCTCTGTCAACATTTTTAGAGTCGGTAGGATAGGATTCCTGACAATTTTGCAGTTTAATTCGATTGCACTGGTGAGAATTCTGATTCGAACGTTTTTCAATTACACTATACTGAAGACATTGAGTTGCTAAGTCTGTTTTTGTTTTTTCTCGCTTTCATTTTTTTCACTTTTGATACTCTCTACCGATCACAAAGTGCTTGCCGGATGACTGTTGCCTGTTGAGGACATTATTGTTAAATAGAATAAAGCCATAAAATAAATCTTTACGAAATTGACAATGGCTGTGCGTGCATGAGCTCCAGGATGAGAGTGAAGAAGTTGGAATGTGTAGAAGACTCTAAGACCTCAGTCATGCCTGAAGAGAAACATGACAAATCAACGAAGGTAAGGGAAGTCATGACTTGTTCTTTTGAAACTTAGTAGTGAAAATTAGAAATGTTTGGAAAAAACTAGGTAAATCTAATGATAATTTGAACCATAAAATCTTTAAAGGAGATAAATCTTCGTCAGATGCAAGATTTGCTTTCTGATTGGTATATTTTTGTTATCCTTTAAACTATACAGAGTTTTACATAAATCACATTCAATTTACAGAAATAGTTTCCAAAAATGTCATATTGTACAACGTCATTAAAAATAAGAAAATTATTATATGTGCAATTTTCCATAAGCATCATAGGCTTATTTTTTGTCCAAAATAATAATACACAGTAGATTTTCTACTTTAATGAAGATTTCATGTTTTCATTTCTTCCAAAACATTTTCAACACATAATTTTCGATTATTTACATTTTAAATAATCTATTAAAGAATATTTTTGAGGTAAAGATCAGCGCTGGAAAATAATGATCAAACTGATTGTCTGAAAACAACAGAATAAGAAAATAGAGTAGAAGATGATAGCTTAAGGAAGTGATACATATAAGGAAAAATCATGCGTGATTGACAATCGATAGCTTCAATCTTTTAAAACATTTTTTGTTCAAAAAACACCATAATCAACTGAACTCAAACAAATTTGATATAGAAAACATGTATGATATTGAAATATACAAGCTATGCAAGTGAGGAAAGACGTGATTTGAAGATGTGTCAAGGTTCATCATGTTGAAAGGGTTGCATGTACTCTTAATAACATAATTGTAATCCAAGATGAAGTGAACAAGTGATATGTTTCAGATAAAAGAACTGTTGGATTAAGAAACTTGAGTGTTTAAAAAAAGATTAATAAGAGCAGGTAAACGACATCGAATCGTTTAAACTTTGAGATTGAGTAGAAATAATCTTGACCAGTTGCCATAGTTACACTATTATTCCAATAATAACATTCTCCTCAACATCTCAGTGATGTAATTCAATATGACTGAAAGTATACAAGGATCGCTGGTATCTTGAATAAGTAGACTTTCTACTTAAGTGTAGGTTTAAACTGTGAAATAGAATATAGGCCCTGTGTGATCTCTAGTCTTCAGATGATTTCTGATTTTCTCTTCTCAATACATCTGCCAATAGAATATAATGTTCTTATTTTATCTTCCAAACATTGCAGCAATCTTATTCGCATGGTAAGACGACAAATATGAATTGAATTGGAAACCGATCTGGTTTTTGAAATGCGATGTGCAAATTTGAATCACCAGTTTTGATATCCCATTTTACGGATGAAACTGATAGTACTCATCGTTAGCTTTTACATTTCCACTAAACAATATGAAGTACATCATACAACTAAAACTTTGTTGAAAACATATCATTTTATTAGGCATCACTTATGCTCTCCAAAAGTTGATTGTTTGCAATTAAAAATCTAATATTGTAAAACGTAGTTTACTTGATCTGCAGAGTTAAGAAATTTCTTGAACATTTAACATTATTCATCAATCATGCGGGTTTCTTATCCCATGAATGGACTAAGGAAGGAGATTTAGAGTTTAAATAATAACCTTAATTCTCTAAAGTCTGAAGAGTTATCACAATATAGTTTCACAGGAATGAAATTGCTATAGATAGTCATTTATGGCCAATAGCAGTTATCTAGGAAGACAAGACTTTCATCCACGTTTTGAAGTTACGCTCTCTGTTGTAAATTAAGCATTCGTAGATATGTTAATTAAGATATATGTATATATTCAACTCATAGCGCTGACACTTCTGTTACACGCTAAAATGGAAGCTTGAGTTGGACAGCATGAGGCACCAAAAAGAATCGAGGGGAAGGGAGGTTTCGGCAAGAAACAGTAGTAACAAGCCAAGGACATACTACATCACAACATCTATTGTTGAAGCATGCATATTCTCTCAACCCTATATAATCCTTCGGAAAAATGCAAGAGTTGAAAGCCTCGCTGTACTCAAAGTGATGTTCTTGAAATTACAGAAATGCTGCCGACGGTCTCATTTTCCATGTGCTGAGTCAATCTTTTTCGATTAGTGAAACGTCTTGTGGAATAATTGCGGTATCTAACACCAAGCTTTATTCCTGTGCAAAATGGTTGTTTGCATTCATTTGATTGAAGATCCTTATACATTAGACTTAGTTTTCATACTGACATTTTGACTAATTTTTTTCATATAAAATTTTAAAATAAATAATTTTATTAAAACTATTTAGCTGAAGAGTATATAAGCTCTCTTTACATCAGCTAGCTCAAATTCTAATATAGTATTCACAATGAGCTAACATTACTTTTCACATAAGTTACAAATTTCATACTTGCCCACCTGGTTTTGTTGACCTGCAGAATTCAGATTTACTTTATCAAATTATTGAAAAATGGGTCTTTTTCAGAGATCAAAAATGATTATTTAATTGATGTCAATGATTCAGTGTAATTTCTCAATCGTGAATAGAAAATGTTATAACTTGAAAATTCAAGACATTCTCTTTAATATTTTATAATGTTTAGTTTCAAATCTGAGTTGAAGAGATTTTAAAAAACGATCTGTTCAACGTTTGCAACGAATAATCGAACGAACACTCAAATTCTAGGATTTGGAAATAATGTAACGAATAAAGAACGCACACTTGAATTTTAGAAGGTTCCATTATGTGAAAATGGAGCTGTTGTAGGACACAGCGATCCAATATTGGGCAAAAGTTGTACAGGACTGAAATTGGCTTCCGGTGGAAATAAAACCTAGACAATCCTTTTTTTTTATTTAAAAGTTCCTCTCATTTCAGGAGTTGAACTCCTGAGTTCATTTCAGGAGTCAATTATGGGATAAAAAATAATAATTTTACGAATAGAGCTACTCATAAAAAGTATGATTTGATATAACCTGCATGGAAAGTAAATCTTCAAGTATATCATCCGGTTGTAGTACGATCGACACTAGAATTCATATCTAAGTCTTGATGGGTGACGTGTTCAAGCTTGGGCACCGTATCAACGCCCAAGCTTGTACACGAAACATAGACAGAACTGCAACAATATGGTTATGATTTGAGTCTAGCGCTTTATTATACATGTCCTTATCCAATGTTAACTATATAACCTAAAAGTAAATGATTTCATATTCCATCGTAATTTAAGCTTTGTGCACCATGATCAGAGACTATTACATTCTTGCAGCTATGGAGTCCTTTTTCCATGTCCACTTCCGTCACATGTGAGTCTATCGCTCAACGTGTTTCTTGTCTGTCAAATCAACTTCGTCTCCTTCGTAATCCTCAATGGGCCACTGTTTAATATATATATATATATATATATATAATTTCAACACTTGCTGACAATCATCTTTCAAAGACTGTACCCGGTTTCAGAACAGAAATTTAAAGTTTTTGGATGGAGCACATCCATCATATTCCTCATCTACGTATACAAAGACACTGCATATGCCAATTCAGATCCGTTCCCACCGGCGGTACACCCTTACTATTTTTTTTTCAGAAAAATTTCATAGTGAATTGCACTTCTCAGAAACGCTCTCTGTGAGCGCAGCACTTTACGTGCAGGTAGAGAATGAAGAAATATCTAGCCAGAGAAGAACCAAAACTACACTTCTCTGATGCATAAGAGGTGTCAAGCCAAACCTGCCTTTCAGCCTGGTCATGAATTCAGACGACAGAGAAATCTTCACCTTGCCACGTTTTCACGCACATGTAATACATTGTTTTTAATGGAGCAGTTTGTTGAAGGTTCGCCTTACCTCAAGATATTGAGGTGACGGTTTCCGGCTGCCATGAACCATAATATCACATACAAACAATAATCGTACTGCACTGAACCCTTGCAATTTGTCATTTTCTGTATTCAGATGAAGGGTTGTTTAACTTATAAAATTTATTGCAATTTGGAACGATTACACTTTGTTGACAGTGTCACGTCCCAAATTGTCTTCACTTTGCACTAGAGGCTATCTGCATGTAAGAATTGCGTAGTTCTATGGTGCATAATCATCCTCTGGATTTGGGTTCGACAATGCGGCATGTACTTCATGACAAGCTAGTACTCACATTGTACAGTCAGCGTCAAGATGCCATGAAAACCGTTGTTGAAAAGGCCGATACCACCCGATTCACAGTTCTTAGTGGATTTTCTCAGATTTGTCCCATGCCATCCACTTTAGTGTTTATCTCTTACGACTACTTCGGTATCTACCAAGGTTCTGAGCAGAGCAAGAAGAAATAAATAAAAGTGTTCCCTAAAGCTCATCTTTAATGTATACCCGCACACTTTCACGCTCTAGTAGAAAATGAAAGTAAGTTGAGATCTTCATAATTTGCTCCTAGCCCGTCTAACTGTACAGCATTACATGACAAATGCAAAAGACTTGCTTCACCTATCTCAGCCCCGGAGTTTGGTGCCAAGTTTGAGATCCAACTATAATTATAGAAATCGCGAAGAAAATGAAAGCAGTAAGAACATTATCAATGCAATTTAAAACATTAGACAAATTATTTACTTTTTCTGAATCTAGAGGGTTCAGAAGTTCAAACCAGTCGATGATGGCATTTGTGCACACCCTAGATCTTCGTGTTGATTATCGAATGAGCAATAACCTGGAGTGCAATTTTGTATCACATTTTCAGTAAATTTGTTGGCAGTGTAATTCTTGGTTCATATACATATCTCATCCTATCTTATTCCAGAAAGATAATGCATCCAACGAGAGAATTTCCAAGTAAGACTCCCTTGCTTAGTTGTTGAACGCAAGAGGAAAGTAGGAAAGGTATATTAATCATTTCTATTTCTAATTTTCTCTATTAAGACACCACAAAAAATTCATAATCTTATATTTTAATCAGGAAGATATCAATCAATGTGTAGAACACTAAGATTTGCTAGAGGCTCAACGGATTTGGTTGTTGTATCTTCTTTCTCGAACGATGTGACGTTCTATGCTGCTTAACATAGTGAGACCTAGAATGTATGAGGATTTTTAACCAAGTCTATAAATTTTAAAGTGATATAAAGTATCTCTCACCTTTTCGTAATTCTCTCAATTGCTGCTTCATCACCTGGCTGGATAGGTCTAAACATAGACCGTCCATGACCATCGATGCCAGTCATTCTAAAATTGTTTGTTAATCTGTAATTGTCCAACCATCTTAATACCTGAAACAAGCTCAGGTGTCACAATTTAGTCCGCTGACCGTCGAAGTTGGAAGTTACATTTGCGTTTACTAGATAGTTTCCTCGTAAATCGTTTTTGGAAGATGACAATGAAAGTGTCTAAGATCTGGCAAGTAGACTTGCACATCCCACTAGCTGAGGAAGCTTGATTTGACCAATCGTGGTCGGTAATTCACACTGCCAAACCTTCGGCATGCGGTGTAAAATCCTTTAAGAAGATTGTTCAGCACTGAAGAGGGAACTCTAGTAGAAGAAAAGACGAACCAACTACCATAGTATTCTTAACAGAAATGAAATAAAGCGCATGTAAGAATGAGACAAATAATGACAACCAAAACACCCGAATCCAACGAAATCACTTTCTGACATGCAGCTGAAGAGATATAACCATAGGTGTCAACAGCTAGTACGACGACCTAGAATATCAACCGAAGATGTGTGCAGCTAAAAACCGAGTTGAAGTTAGTGTGGCTCATTGTTCAGTGTACTTGAGGTAACCTAATGACTTCTGTAACAGCACTTACTGTCAATATAGACTCAGTTGTTTTAATTTTTGAGAATCTGGGTTCTGGGGTTTTTCAACTCAAATTTGAGCTCTTTAGAGTGCATGCATATATTTGTTAATAATTTTCTCCTGCCGGATTATCTAAATTCCTTCATAACTTAGACTTTGAACACACTTGTGCTATTTTTTGAATTTTATTCGGGGAGATTGTTTTAAAATCTCGATCAATCGCAGTACCTTCAGTTGAGAGAGTGAGATTGACTCTCGACATAAAGAAAGTTTACCTTTATGGCTGATAAACCCGTTTCTCGACACATGACATCAAGCTCCGCATTGGTCGGGTGAGGAAGTTGTACATGCTCTTCAAACCAATTTCTGATGAAGACAATTGAAACCAGACTTTCAAATTCATGGTCACATTGGACATGAAACACATGATATAAGAGCAAACCCTTAAAAATTATTTCATTGGAGTGATCGTCTCTACCTTCAAGTTGTTCGATATTATGTTTTGAAACTTGTCTAAATTATATGTCAGGCATATATGTATACATATACATATATAATAATTTGACCATTGAATACCTAATTTGATTTATTTCAATTAAACCATTATTAAAGAGTTCATCAGCTTTATTGATAGCTTCTTCTGACTGATTTCGTTAGTGCTTAGAATACAGTTGCATGCTCACTTAAGGACAACACGTCCATTTGACGATTACCTCATGTAAGTTCGCTGAGCCTCTTCCATTTGTCCCATAGTGATAGCCGGAATAACCTTAACATTCAGGCATTCCGCCTTCCACTTGTAGATAAATGAAATTGCCTTTGAAATGTACACACAATACGATTGAAATTAGTTCTGCCAGTGATCGAGCTCTCATTCATGATGCTCTATATAGCAGTCTTTCGGCTACCCTGTCTCTATTCTTTTGCTGGGGTTGCATTGAAATTAACAATTCCTTCATGCAAGATCGAAGACAAAATCTTGATAGTTGAGGGGAAAGAAGGCTATTCATGCTATACATCGTGCTATTTGAACTCGCTTTACATACATCCACATCTAGTATCAACTAATATCACTCGATTTGTTTGCTTTTATTTCTTCGATTTAACTAGATCTGTTAGTGTGCTTAAACCCCACTTATGGAGATTTTCTTATAATGACCGAATTCTCAGATATTCTCAGATTACTGCAATTATGCTCAATCTGGGTAGAAAATATTTCCCTACATGTACATAGGTCAGTCCAATTTCAGCTTCAATTGCTGCCAACATTTGTTTTCCTGTAAGGGGGTGTACTGCAACGTTTGCCGCGCACCACTCGCTGGTTTAAAGCACATGCATGAAATCCAGTGGAAGACAATTTTTTGTAAGTTTGTCATTAGATTTCGTGTTTGGCATTGCTTTTTGCAATAGAGCTTATGAGTACGCAAGATAATCAAATCAAATTTTTAATTCTAGTCAAAGAAAAAACTTGTCAGATCTAGAAGACAGTACCATATGAATATATTGTACACGTCTATTTTATAAGCTTGTTTCTTTCAGTCTGACATACGAAAACCAAGTGCCTACGTTCATATGGAGGCACCTACTTATATTTAACAGCACCACTTCTATGTCTTGTGCATTTAACATTTATATTTGGAGGATGATAAGCGCTTGTGAATTCTACATTCTAGCTCTTATCCAACTTGAGGCACGTTATTTTAATTATGTGGTTTGATATGATCGAGAACATCTCTTTAAAAACCATTACTCTCATAGATTTGTCGTTCACACCAGGGATCAAGCATGGTTGTCATGCTGTATTAAGTCGTAGCCAAATTAATGCAGCCAGGATTTGTGTGTGCCAACTTCTATTTCAAGATTGTGGAAGATAGTACTTCTTTATCTGATTTTCACTTACAGCAGATTCCTGATTTCTACAGTAAGAATTAGTTCAGTTATGAAATCCTTGTTAAAATGACGAATCTAGATTACAATTCTTCTGTTGAGACATGGGTTTAGTTGTTTGCTTACTCCATCCACCTGACGACCCATCCTGGCATATTTAGTCTCATCACTCGATTACATTTCCCTTTCTGTATATTGGATGCTATCCCCACCAACCTGAAAACTTCCTGCGCGTCATGAAAGACAAGGGCAATACGGAAAGCCATTGGTCGGAAGGTTTATATGATGAAAGTAAGATGCGTATCAACACTTCATACCACGGAGTGGATTTGGTGAAGATATAACAAACTATCAGAAATTTAATCCTGACTGATGGTTTGACACAATTCAATGGATATTATATTAAATAGAACGGATGAAGTTTTGATTGAAAGAACTTACCATCAGGCAGAACCTATGGATACAATCTTGTTATGCGTATAATTACTAAAAGGTAGCAATTCAGGTTTTCATTTCGACAGTTTTCCTGTAAAAACGGGCTCTTTTATCGTTTAATACATGCATTGCACCCCAAAGAATAAATCCAAAGTAAGATGCATACCACATCGAACATAAACAGACTGGCAGCCAAGCGTTGTTGCTCCCCCACGATGTTATCTATCTCTCCGTATCGCAGTGAGTAGCAGCACTCGTTTACAGGGCCGGGCACGCAATCGTCCCAAGTATGTACAGGCTGACTCTTCGCGAAGCCCTGCACATGATAGTGCCATCTGTAAGGATAAGGATTTGCGTGAATGGATCTGTCATTCTATCGTACTATGACCGGGGTGAGTTCAGGAATGATCACAACACGTAACTTCTCTAAGGAGAATCCACACGATCAAGCACTTCCAATGTCCAACAGTTTAGGGATATAGAAACTTAAACTTAAAACTCTTCAATTTTTGGGAACGGGAGAATTTTTTCACAATCTTCGTTTGGCTTTGTCTTTACCGTATGATGACTCTTAACACTCGCCACAATTAATTAAGAATGCCTAATAAGGTCAAGTGCCAAATAGAACTTCGCCCGTTACTATAACGACTGGCATTGCAATTTCGTGCAGTCAGAAGATGGGTCATTTGTAGAGGCAAACACCAGTCGAATGCGAAGAAACTCGAAAATCAGAAGATCACTTACCTGGTGACTTAGGACAAGTCTCGTGATGGTGCCTGTACGTGCGGCCAGTATCGTTTGGGCATTAACCTTGGACACGCAGGCCTTGATCATTTCAGAGGCTCGAAACATGAGGTCCGTTGCCATCCGTGCATTGGGTTCCCAACACTCCATTCGCAACCTCCGCCGACGTTCCATATCGAAGGGACCCTGGTCTGGCAGACGGTCGTCGACTTGACGTGCGGGAGCGGGGCCCGCCTGGGCTTGAGGTGCACCGGCGGGGGGCTGGGGATGGCCAGCAGCCGGTGGAGGAGAACCGGCATGGGGCTGGGGATGGCCAGCAGCCGGTGGAGGAGAACCGGCATGGGGCTGGGGATGGCCAGCAGCCGGAGGAGGAGAACCGGCATGGGGCTGGGGATGGCCAGCAGCCGGTGGAGGAGAACCGGCATGGGGCTGGGGATGGCCAGCAGCCGGTGGAGGAGAACCAGCAGCCGGTGGAGGAGAACCGGCATGGGGCTGGGGATAGCCAGCAGCCGGTGGAGGAGAACCGGCATGGGGCTGGGGATGGCCAGCAGCCGGTGGAGGAGAACCGGCATGGGGCTGGGGATGGCCACCATCCGGTGGAGGAGAACCGGCATGGGGCTGGGGATGGCCACCATCCGGTGGAGGAGAACCGGCATGGGGCTGGGGATGGCCAGCAGCCGGTGGGGCAGCTTGGAGGATGGGGTCGAGTATGACCGGCTGCTGGGGCGATGGCGGGGGAGGCTCGGCTTCCTGGTTTTGGAGATTAGCCAAGGCCTCGTCGGCGATGGCGGCCGGGAGCTGGCCCTGGGCGTCCATTTGTTGGATCTCATGGCGGGCTTGCAGCAGCGGGCTCCGCACGAGCTGGACGACGATGGGGCCTGGCTGGGGCTGTGCATGCGGGTCCACACCAGGAAGGATGGGATCTGGCGCACGGCCTGGATCGGCAACGATGGCGGCCTGCGCATCTGCTCCACCTCCTCCTCCAGCACCGACGTTCGACAGTACGACCTCTCGGCCGTCTTCGGGTGCATTCTCGCCGACCGCAGGAACAAATTGTCCGTCGAGAATCACGAAAGTCTCGCCAGGCAGATTTGCCTGTGCATACGCCTCGTAATCGTTGTCCCTCCGAGGTTGATCTCCGATCGGTCGCTCTTGCGCTGCTTTCTCGATGGCCTCGTGAATCGCAGGTCCTAAGCCCAGATCTGCGTCTGCCGCCTTGTCGATAACCGGAAGACCAGCAGCGTCACCTCCATCAATTACCATAGGTACTTCTTGCATTGCGTTACTGAAAGCTTCTTGTAAAGTAGCAGGATCGATGGTGGTGGTGACCCCGTACTGTTCAGCCTGGGGGAATGGGCGCTCGTTGTCATCGACATCTATCAGCATATTATCAGCATAATCTTCTCCACCTCCTCCTGCTTCTCCTCCTGCCGCCGCCGCCGCTGCTGCTATTCCTCCTGCTCCACCTCCTGCCGCCGCCGCCGCTGCTATTCCTCCTGCTCCACCTCCTGCCGCTGCTGCTGCTATTCCTCCTGCATCTCCTCCTGCTCCACCTCCTGCTGCTGCTATTCAGAAACGAGAGACACGATTGAGCTACTTCTTACTGAACTGTCACGAGATGCAATCTTGGAGTACATTGTATAAAAGTTATATAACCGATGGACAATCAGAGAAACATATGATCTCGAAGAGCAAAGCTTTGATGTAAACTTTTGATTTTGGCTCCTAGAAATAACAGTTTGCTGAAGTCACGTGTAACATCCAAGTTCTTATCAATTCAACTTCAAAGTCGCAGGATTTTGGCCTAACATGGTATCCGAGAGAAAGCATAACCACAACATCCCACTTACAAATTAAATTGAATCATTGCTTAGACGCTTGGTTTTTGGGCATGATTTTACTTATACACTGTGAGTACTCTCTTGATGAACTATGTGATTCATTGTCAACTCTTCAGGTGTCTATATATTGACATCTATCAGATATCATCGAGAAAAAACTACAAACAAGTTGCAATCCGACTTATTTCTATTTGTTTGCTCCTTTCATTGAAAATTATTTGCTTCATAAACATTATTCCGATCACTCTTCCTTAAGGCAAAGGTGAATCCACCTGGATCACGAGGCGACCCGGAATCATCCTCACTGGTACTCGAGTCATCTCGGTCCCAATCTATGTGAGGATCTGCAATCGGAGCACCCACCTTTCCATATCTTGGATCCATGCCTCTTCCATTCCCTTGCCTACAAATTCAAACAAGGTTTTGTTTTTTTTACGTTTTTCGAAATGTTTTCAGCATGATGATTCAGAATAAAAATATTCTCACTTTTATGTACAGACTAAATGGTTTCACAGGTAAGTTCAAATTTTACTCAATGCCAACAGGGGAAATATTTTATACATTATAATAAGTGAATACGTGCATTCGTTTGAAAAATGCCATTTCATTTTTTTTCAAAAATTAATAAGATTTGTATTAAGATTCGTTTTCAATGATACTTATGATGAAAATAATTCTTAATTAATATCAAGACAGAAACTGTGCGTGTGTGTGTGTGTTTTGATTTTTTTTTATGTATATGGAGGAACTTACCTTTCTAGCAAATTAGCGTCTCTCATTATCCACGTACCGGCGAGATCATGTTTCCTACGATAATCTGACAACCACGTTTGGATCTGCATGTTCCCATAATACAAGTTTCAAGAGATAGACTTTTCTCATGAAATGAACCTGGAATAACATGAGGATCCTATAATAATACATTTATGTTAAGTTTTAACATTTGAACTTTCCACCCGATGTTTTAAGAGAAGCATTTACCCTTCTCGAAGTCAGTCTGGCATATTTCCTTAAAGTTTCCTTTTCTGACCGTATTGGGTAGGGATACTCGCGATGAGCTTCCATCCAACCTCTGCCGATGATTAAATGTTAGGTTAAAAAGTCCTCTGTTCATAAAATCATTGTTTTAATTGCTTTTCTTACATGTAATTTGTTCTTTTATCAGTTAACATGGTACACACTATAATTTTATTTTATTTTAAGAATTTTGATTATGTGCCATTTCACCAAAAAGCTCCTGGAATGAGTGAGGAAATCTACGTTAGAAATGCCTCAACCGCTGGCTTAAGTGGCTGGTCTTTGGGCGCTTGTCCAATCGCATCCAGCTCTTGGACTATTACCAACTCTCTAGCTCGTTCCAACCCTCTCTCAGCGACGGTCTCTAAGCGAAGACGTCTGAAGATCCATTTCAACTGCACAATTCGATTTACATTTCAAAAGTCAAAGCAACAATAGATTGGTTCCTAATGTGGAAAAACTAGAAAATGAGTGCAGAACATGCATTTGAAAATTTTCCCTCAAGTTAAAGTAAAGCTGGAGATAGCTAGTTAGCAAGCTAAGATTTAGTCTAGGTAGGAAATATACTTCCGTTATTTCTATTCAAGAATTGTATTCAATCATGTTCAATATGCGAATCTCTTATTATAATGCCTGAAAGTTAAATTGTACCCAGGCAATGAGTAAGTGTTCAAATACCTGATTGTTTTGCATTCCTGTGGAAGCCACAAGTGGCCCCCACTCGTCTCCTTTAGGATAAGGTTTTCCTTGGTGATCTCGATTCCATTTTCTTATGCCACATATTCGAACAGTGGTTTTTTTAGATATAAATCATAACAAAACATCTAAGTACACAGACTATGATAACCCTCTCATTTAGTCGAAATTGTCATCTTGGTCATGATAGTTTCAAACTGAATGAATTTTCTGTTCTATGAGTTTTCTGGAGTACGCGTGTAACACTTCTACTAAGCTTGTTGGATCATAAACAAATTATGATCGAAAAACTTAGAAAGCAGCAAAGGTTTCTTTTAGCGGGAAAATATTTCACAAGTATGACCCTGAAACAGAAAATGTAAAAAAAGCAAAGAAATTTGGTATCAACCAAATTACAAACATGAGTGAGTACATCGAACAAGCTTACCTTATTTTTTCCATAACGTGGAATGGTAATTTAACACAGTGAGACCCCGTTTTGTTCAACCATTTTGTTACTACGTTTGTGATGTCCTGCGAGCAAAACACACACAGTGCTAGATGTAGTCGACCTCGACAAAACTCATGAAGTAGGCTCAAAAGTTAGTGACTTTCGATTTTCGATATCTGTGCATATTTTATAATTGCCTTTTATGTACCATGCAATCTAGATCGTCGAGGTTAGACGTAAGAGTCCACAAATTTGTCATCTTCTTCATTCCGAGACACATGTCAAAATTTACAGATGCTGGAAGGTCTTACGATTACGAATTTGTGCATCGTTTTTTTGTGCAGCTTTTCGCGATCCATGATGGCGTTCAAAGGTGCAAGTTTTCGGTTATAGCAGCACTGTTGAGGCTCTAGCACTCGAGAGCATTCATGATCGCAGTGATCCACAAGGCCTCGAATGAATTTCTGCATCAAAAAGACATTGATGTTGATCAGTCGAGCACCTTTTCAGCTCATTCATCGCACGTTTCAAACCGCACGTGGTACTTTCTCAGATGCTCCCAGCCATTCTGCTCTGATACTGCACCCATTATACTACGGATGCTAAATATTTGTGAACTTTCCTAACGTAGAATTCCGCTCGGAGAGCAGCATACACTCTGATACAGAGAGTACAGTGAAGATTTAGTGAAGGACGGGCGAAGGAAAATGTGAGGAGGAAATGGAAGAACTGAACGTACATGATAAGCGATGATGTAGAACCGCACATCATTTTGCAAGCTGGTTGGCATGTGGGTGTATTTGGGGGTGCCCATCACGGAGAGACAAACCTCCAGTTGCAATCTCTTCAACTCTTTCAGAGCCCAAACATGGTATTGAGCTTCATCGGTCAGAGCTTGGGCAGATATTGCTTGTGGGACAGCGATATTCTTCGTAAGCCTACCCCCGTGTATGTCCCTGAGATTGTCTGAAGTCTTGGCTAGAGCGAAACGATCGGCATTAACATCGAACAAGTTCACTATAGCTCTTTGTCGGTACAGCGGCTCGACTTGGCTTTCGCATGCAGGATGTGATACGTCACTAGGATCGACATCTGCTACAATGTAAGTGTCAGGGAGGCTCGGGAAATTTCCAACCCTACGCGTCGTTATATGTTTCGTAGTTAGAGGGGCTTGCCACTCGTCATTGAGTACGGGATGATCCCCACCTACTTGAAGAAGCTCTGGTAAGTCCACCTGGTCGTGCAGCTGGGGGGTCTGAAATATCTCCCTCCGAATGGGTTCCGCTTCTTTGAGAAACTCTCCCCTGCCACCAAGAATTTGATCTACGACATCGGCTATTTCGTCGTAAAAACCATGGTACGTAATGACGAACCTCTGTTGGTTTTTAGAATCGATGGCAGGGAAGGGGTCTGCGACGGAATCGATCTCCTGAGTCCACGCGGAGATAGTATTCTGGTCTATAGCCTCCAAGGCAGCTACGGAGATGCCTTGCTGGAATCCAGCAGACAACAGTGCAGCTCGTATGATGTGATTCCGGTGGCTGATTAACGACGGCAGAAGGGCAACCGTTCCCATATCTACCTCCGGGTTCACAGTGGGGAAATACCTGACCAATGTCGCTGCGATGGGAGAGAGTTTCGTGTGCACGAGGTTCAGAAGATTGGCCAGCGTCGTGGCAGTCTCCTCTTGCGACAGCCGCTGAGGTCGATGCCGCATAATGCACAGATACCTCGTCCATTCGTCCATCTTCATGTGCAGCATCAAGCCATTGAACAATGCGTCTTCATCGTAAACTTCATCCCCTGAACTCCCTGGACTCGAGGGCGCTCCAGGACTCCCCGCTGGAGGAGGACTACCTCCTCCCCCTCCCCCTCCTCCGTCGGGATTAGGCGCTCCAGGACTACCACCTCCTGCAGGACCTGCACCCGGATGACTAGATCCTCCGGAACCTCCACCCGGACTTCCCCCGGGACCGGAACTAGCCCCTCCTCCACGGCCTACAAACGGACTAGCCCAACTGAGTGGGCTACTTCCACCTGGACTTCCACCGGGACCGGGACTAGCTGCTCCCGCAGGAATTCCTCGACGGCCTACAAACGGACTAGCCCAACTGAGTGGGCTACTTCCACCTGGACTTCCACCGGGACCGGGACTAGCTGCTCCCGCAGGAATTCCCACCGGACTCGCCCCTCGAGGTGGACTAACTCCCCCGGGGACTCCACCTGGACTTCCTACAGGACTTGCCACTCGAAGAGGACTAGCTCCTCCTACAGGACCTTGAACCGGACTAGCCGGTCGAAGTGGACTACCTCCATCGGGACTAGCCCCTCGAACAGGACTTCCTCCTCCGGGACCGGGACTAGCTGCTCCTGCAGGAATTCCCACTGGACTCGCCCCTCGAGGTGGACTAACTCCCCCGGGGACTCCACCTGGACTTCCCACGGGACTTGCCACTCGAAGAGGACTAGCTCCTCCTACAGGACTTTGAACCGGACTAGCCGGTCGAAGTGGACTACCTCCATCGGGACTCGCCCCTCGAACAGGACTACCTCCTCCTCCAGTACTTCCAACGGGACTAGCCCCTCGAACAGGAGTAGCTCCTCCTACAGGACTTGTCACCGGACTAGCCACTCGAAGTGGGCTGCCTCCATCGGGACTAGCCCCTCGAGCCGGACTAGCCCCTCGAACAGGACTACCTCCTCCTCCAGGACTTCCAGCGGGACTAGCCACTCGACTTCCACCGGGACTACCGGGAAGTGGACCATCTCCTCCTCCCGGGCTTCCCTGCGCTGGCACTTTAGCGGCGGGCTTGTCGGACTCGCTTTCCAGGCTCGGCCCCCTCTTCCGTTTGGCGGATCCCGGTCGAGAGTCTTGCGCTTCCACTGTCGGCGGTGGGGATGCAAGCTTCGGGCTAAGATGGCCCTTGGGTGGGGATGCCGCAGCTAGCAACGATTCCATAAGGTGAGTACGGAGGGGGCTCCGAGCCGGATCGGCTCGCGGGGGGCTGAGATCGAGATCGGCTGTGCCGCCCTGCACATTCAATATATTCTCCGCGTCCTCCTCCCCGAGCAGAGCGCGCACGGTCTGGTCGAATTCTTCGTTAAAGGCTTCGGCCACAGCCGCGAACGATACGCGGCTCTCTTCGTTCGAGTACTGCAGATTGCTGCGCCGCAGCTGGCGCAGGTAAGAGATCCATCCACTCATCTCCTGCTCGTACTCGTCGACCAATCCCTCGCGGTACTCGTCCTGGATCCCGTTCATCTCGTACCGCACCGTCCTGCGCAGACGACGCGCTCTGTCTAGATCCGAGTCCGCAGGGATCAGCTGCAGCCTGTCGACGGAGTACATCCACGACCGATTGAACGCTTGGACGATTCGGCCCAACCTCAACCCGTTCTCTGCGTGGAGAAAATGCTGCGGCTGTCGCTGCATCGCCACGAGGTACCGCATCCAGTCAATCATCTGAACCATATGGGCTTCGGTTGGATGCAAGCCCGGAGGCCGATCGGCCCCGACGTGATGATACGGAGTCCGAAAACCCAGAGCTCCTTCGACGGTCAATGCACCATCGCCAGATGCGGGACCTGCTACGACAGTCATAGCTTGCGCGTCATCGCCTCCGGCATCGCCAGAATCGAGAGCTCGTCCGTCAGTCGATGCCGGAAGGGCAGTGCCTCCGGCATCGCCAGATGCAAGAGCAACAGCATCTTGCGCTTGCCAAGTATCAGGCTTTCGAGCTTTTCGCTGCAGTCCTCGGCTCTTCAGAAACTCCTCCCACCCCGGACTTCCAGGAGCGGGATGGCCTGCTTGACGAAGGGCATGCATGATCAGCGGATCCAGATTGTCCAGGTCGTCAGCATATGACAGAGCATCAGTCAAGTCCTTCTCCGACAACTTGAACTCCTCGTCAAAATCCTCGTCCATGTCAGCGACATCGTCCGCGCCCCCGGCTGTAATCGCCAGGGGGGTGCTCACCGGGCCAGGCGATCCGACCGGGGATGGAAACTTTAATATACCGGGCGAGCCCCCGGCTGTACTCGCCGGGGGCGAGCTCACCCGGCTAGGCGATCCGCCCGGGGATGGAAACTTTAATATACCGGGCGAGCCCCCGGCTGTACTCGCCGGGGGCGAGCTCACCCGGCCAGGTGATCCGCCCGGGGATGGAAAATTTGATGTACCGTGCGAGCCCCCGGCTGTACTCGCCGGGGGTGAGCTCACCCGGCTAGGCAATCCGCCCGGGGATGGAAAATTGGATGTACCGTGCGAGCCCGCGGCTGTACTCGCCAGGGGGGAGCTCACCCGGCTAGGCGATCCGGCCATGGATGGCGTAACAATGGTACCGTCAGGTGACCTCACTTGCAGAGGCATGGGCTGTAATCCAATCGGCAGGACTGGCGCACCGTCGGCACCTCCACCGGCTCGAGGCGGTGACATGATTTGCGGAGCCACGGGCTGTGGGCTCAACGCTGCCTGTGTCTGAGCATGGGTCAGAACTGAATCCAACCACGTCGCTCTCGCCGGCACTCCGTCGGGCCGCGGCGATGCCGCTGGCGTGCCCTTGACCCGGTTCTGAATCAGAGCACCGTCCAGCGCTATTGCCACATCTTGTGCGGTTAATCGGAAATCCTGGAAAGGCGGCGGCTCTTCACTCACGAAGAGTGGAAGATGGTCGAGGGAAGGAAGGAAATACAGAGCATCTTGTGGAAGATTTTCTTCTAGATCCGCCGAGCCAAAATTCAACATATCAGTATCCTCCCCATCCGCTGCTGCTGCTGCTGCTCCTCCTTTCGGACTGCCGCCTCTGCAAGGAACTCATCTCTTGTTAGCTCGCCGTCACTTTACACTCATTCCATCGAACTCCCAAATTGATCAGACTCGTCAAACTCGTTGCTTGGAACAGCCCACGTGACGAAGGAACGATCTCAAGACGTGACTGCTTTCGACTCTTCTCGTTCGGTCCGTTTGTTCCCGATCGCGTCTACCGGCGTTTTTGTGTACCTGTCTTTTAGACAGGTACACGATCACTCACATTATCCTAATCGAGATCTGGAATAGTTTCAAACGATGACCGCGGCCGCTAGAGGATTGCGAATGAAGGTAAGCCGTAATGTTGTTCATGTTCTCGAGGATCTGATATCTATGTTCATTCGTTGGTCACAGAATCTGCTTCTTTACTTCTTCTCTTTCTATACACGGAGTCGATGTTACTTTCCAATTCGTTTATTCTAAGCCTCTTACTAATGAAAACCAATGCCTCTGTTATGGAAAGCGGTATGCTCGAAGAAATAATTATCTTTGACGTGACTGAAGCACTTCCACTAGAACCGAATTTTTGCCTGCACTGGGTTCAAAACTGGCCACCTGACCCCATTTGAATCGCGAGAACCCAGTCTTCTGATCACGGAGAAGGATAAATCCAGGGAAGAAAATAGAGATTCAGATCAATTAGTATTAAGGGAACTACTAATTGATCCGAAATTGATACTGATTGATCTTTCTTCGTTGGGTCCGAAATAGTGTTTCAAGATCACGTTGGATACAAGCGAAGTGCAGCATTTGGTGTCCCTGAACTTTCCAGAGCATAACTTCGAAGATGGCTTTCTACAGCCTGGAGGGTATATCCCGACTCTCCCCAATAACATCATAGAAGCAAGAATTTGTTCAAATGAAAGGCATTGCCCGCTGTCTTTGCATTGCCACTTTCAATAAAAGGGTGACAAAGACTTCTCCATTTTAAAAAAAGGCCACGCTACACTTTCTAGAATTTCCGACCCATTTACCGGTGGACCAAGCATGTTCAGCAACGAGTAGTTTAAAAGTCAAGGGAATATAGAGAGAAGTGTTACATAATTTCGGATCGAGAGAACATTGCAAGCGGTCCTACCACAGGTTGCTGTCATGGAATATGTATTTTGATACATAGTCTACTTGAACAAGAACCAGCCACAGACTGAAGTAAGAATAGTCGAGGCTCCTAAAGCCATTTCGCAACAGATACATACTTTGGAGTTTTAAGTAAACTGGATCACTTGAATAAATAAACAAGGGAAAAAGAGGGAAAAAGAACGGAAAAAGCTTATCTGTAGCGTGCTAAATAATGCGTCAATATGCTTCTCAGAAAGATAGAAAGAAAGGATTTGACGATTTCAATAATACGTGGAGACGGTTTAAAAGTAGTCCAGAGCAATATCTGAGCTCGCTTCGGTCCCCCGAAGAGTAAGTCGGCATGCGAGCGCTACATGATATCACCCCATGAGATATCCCCAATCCAGGCCTTACATATCCAGCACTTCCCTGGCTTCTGGTTTTCCAGCAGGTGCGGTCATTTTTATTTTTATTTTTATTTACAGAATTCTGGTTTTAGTTTGACTCGGCAGATCCAGCGCGACAAACTAGATTATTACATTGCTCACGGTGATCAGGGCAGGATTGGTGTCTAAGAAAATTAATTGCATGGTCTTGCATGGTTGCGGTTCCTGGCGCATGTTTTTTTATTGGTCACATGTGCCAGACCCATCTAATCATGATTTTACCTGAGACATCACTCATCGATGCTTAATTTGTGGCACAAAAAAGGTCGGGGCAATTCTTTCCACTATCATTGATATAATTTATGAGCGGCATCGATCTCACCTTCGTTCATTTCACTTGTACTTTGCTTATCAAAATCGCTGAAACCCGATTGTTTCAGTGCCCCGGTGCAGCAAAAGGAACCGGGAACTAGTCTGGCGGACATTCTGAGCTAGCATTCTCCGAACCGTCAATCTCTGGGCTTTCTGATTCCTTAGATTTCCACTGGAAATTTGAGTAAGCATGCTCAGTGGACGAAGGATGGGAGGACAGAGTGATGGCCAGTGAATCAACTGCCAGAAAATCCGTATAGAGGGTCAAATGGTTTGAAGGAAATGTCAGAGGCGGATGCACGAATCTGCTTTGCTCTCAACCAGGATGGGAATTGGAGTCTCCGGCTCTTTGAAGAGCAGTCAATAGAAGAAGAACATATGATTCGTCTGACACACGAGACATGATCCTGTCGCGCGAGTTCGAATCCATGACCAGATTAAAATTTCTCTTAAGCTCGACCAAAAAGCACTCCAATGCGTTGACCTGCCCCTGCATTCCCCTGACCTTGCCATCTCTGTGTCCGTGGTCTTTTATGTTCCAGCTACCTAAAATATGCACAAATGCTCCCCTTCGAAACTGGACTTCTTGTTAGAGCATGAGCTCACGGAGCTATGTACGTGGAGTCAGGCAGCAAAATCGTTCGCAAGCGGCGCAGGGCAAGGTTCAAGGGGAAGAAAATATAGACTGAAGTAGTCGACCAAGGGAACAGGAAAGACAAGGGTAAAGGAAAAGCGAGTGCAGGAAAACCATGGGACTGTGACTATTTCTTCTCAAAAATCACCTCAATCATCGTTTACCACTCCAGCCAGAAGATCAGAAATTGCGTGCCACACCAAAGCATGGAAAAGATGATGACCCCGACATGTTCTACAGATGTAGCTTTGATGTCTGTTACTCCTCACTAGCCTCGTAACGACGACCGCACTTTGGGCTCAAGATCGATGCTCGGGTGAATTGCAGGCCAACAGATATAAGTTCATCACATCTGCTTTGACGACGTGTGCCTTGCTCCACATTTCGTCGAGAGGTATGCGTGCTACTTCGATCTGATTTCGAATCTATGTGCAAAGATTTGTATAGAATTTGTTGTCGGGATTTTTCTTTCGAACTAGCGCAGCCTGGCAAGTCTTACGGAGTTTGGTTTCTCATTTCCTCGATTTAGGTGAATCTGCAAGCTTGAAGAGTGTAATGCGTAATCCCTTTGCGATGGTTTCACGAAGCTTTCTGATTATCCTAGGATGCTAACTTCCATCATCGGACGTGAATCCAGTGACATATTCTGAAGTGGGCGGCACTGGAACACTTGCATCGACGTAGCAGCGTAGGTTTGATCGGCGAAATGTCTCACAATTTGACTGGTCTGAAAAGAACCTGCATACCTTGGAACAGCCACTGCAGACTTCGGTGATGAACTTTGTCCAGGACTTCCGCCTCGTGCCGGCGACTTGGGCTGTCTTCCTCTCGCTTGCTGAGATTGCACGGGAGCTGGAGCTGGAGCTGGAGCTGCTCTTTGGGTGGATGGAGCTGTCGATACCCGTCCAGACGATGCCGGCGGGTCCCGCTTAGAAGATGGACCAGATGCTGCTGTGCCTCGAGCCGGAGTCTGATCTCGGGCTCTTGCTTGAGATCTGGTTTGATATCTTGGCTGTTGAGTGCTGCCATCAGCAGGAGCTGGTGCTGCTGGTGGATCCGATTTCGGAGGTCTGTTCTTAACCCTGCTCTGAGGACGTGATGTACTTCCAGCCCCTGATCCTTGGACAGACTCAGCAGCCGGGGCTCCAGCGGCCGATTGCTGTTGACTGCTGGCACCAGCTGGAGCTGGAGCTGCTGCTGCTGCTCGCGACTCTTCAGACAACTTACGTGCGCTCCTAGGCCTGGTCGGAATTGGTGATGGACCTCTAGATCCCGACGCTCGAGCAGTCCTTGTCGAGTCCGTTTGCTGCTGTCCGCTGGCAACAGCAGAATCTGCAGCTGCTGGTGCCGCTGCTCCATCCGGCCTCGGACGTGCGCTCCTAAGCCTGATCTTAATTGGTGATGGACCTCTAGATCCCGACGCTCGAGCAGTCCTTGTCGAGTCCGTTTGCTGCTGTCCGCTGGCAACAGCAGAATCTGCAGCTGCTGGTGCCGCTGCTCCATCCGGCCTCGGACGTGCGCTCCTAAGCCTGAATTTAATTGGTGATGGACCTCTAGATCCCGACGCTCGAGCAGTCCTTGTCGAGTCCGTTTGCTGCTGTCCGCTGGCAACAGCAGAATCTGCAGCTGCTGGTGCCGCTGCTCCATCCGGCCTCGGACGTGCGCTCCTAAGCCTGGTCTTAATTGGTGATGCACCTCTAGATCCCGATGCTCGAGCGGACGGAGCAGCGGGCGGAGCAGCAGCAGCAGCAGCAGCAGCTTCAGCGCGGCTCGGCGACCTGCTGCGATCTCTCCTGGTTGGAGTCTGCGATGTACTCCTAGACCTTCCCAGCAGAACTGCGCCGACGGTGCTGGGTCTGACAGTTGGAAAACGAATGTTTGGCGGCGGTGGCAGACGCCTCGGCTGAGCTCCATCCTGCCCTTCGTCAGCATCCGATTCCGTCTCCGTCTCCGAATCCGAATCAGACGGCTCTGGCCTTTGCCCTGGCCATGGCTTGCCCTGACCCCCCCTCCCTGCCATCGTGAATCTGATTTCGGTTTTGTTGTGCGGTTCTTTTCATGCACTCGTCACTTCTCAGACGATGAAATGAAGCAGCTACTGGAACGAAAGCTTTCGCTCCAGAGACTTGAAACAGCTTCTTCTCGGCCTACGATTCGTGCCTCTTGCGACCATTGTACTCGTGCTTCTCGGATGCTTGACAGACTAGTTTCCAGCTTCTTTAAACATTTCTAGTCCATTGTAGTTACGGCCCTAACATACAAATGCGGTTCTCCGAAGGATTTTGTACATCCATGAAGCGAATCTACACATGTCAAAATGGGAAGGTGAATGAATGAGGCTCTAGAATCCTGATGAGTAGGACGGCAACAATCTGGACACCAGACCGGAAAGATCTTCGTGTACCTCAATTGGCTCCTTTTTCTCTCCTATTGGCTTCAAATGCTGAGATTGGACAGACAGCCGGGGAGAGTGGATCTACATCAAGCTATCTAATGGGTACAATTTCTGTTGCCAAAACTCCTTGAATGCATGAAACTTTCAAGGTCAGTCATCGAATTCAAGCACCTCCAGAAAGTCAACTATGTGCTTCCCCTTGATTTTTACGAAAGCCGACAACTTATGGTAGGTGTCAATAACTTCCTGAAATACCAGTTTGAGCACTTTGCCCATCCTTTAGCCGCCTACACATCTGCTGGAATCTGCAGGCTACATGATGATGAGGCCTCCAGAAGTAGACTGAACCTGAAAATCTGTATCCACTGTTAGCTTCCTGTTAAGTCGAGCCTGCAGATTTCAACAAACATTATACATGCCGTTGTGCTAGGATTTCGATTCGATTTCGATCTCTAAAGATAATGTCTGCCACAACGTTGGCTTTCGCCAAATTCTTGTTAAGATTCTAAGAATGGGAATGACAAGTGTACTCTTGAATACGGACGGGAAACTAGATGAACGTACCTTGTGATTGACGGACAACAATGGTAACTTACCTCGATGCATTGGTGACAGGGGATTCAGAGCGAACCGGAATCAACATTTTCTCCTTCTGTCGAATCTAGTGTAGCGCACGGATTACCTACACTTTGTTCCTCCATTGAATTTTGTATGAATCCCTCGTTCAGCTTGGGACGTAGTAGAGCCACACCATTCTTATCATTTCGCAGTTCTGCCTGAGCATGCAATGAAAATGAAATTTCCGTTGTGCCTGGTCCTGTGGTGGCCAAAGGTTTTAGCGATCAGACGTGGGCGATTCAACAGACGTAGCCCTTCGGCCTCCAGATTGACACGCAGTGTAATGACTCATGACTTGTAAGCCCTTGAAATTGTTCATTGTACATGTTCCCTCCGTTTTGGCGCCATCTGCTACGCAAACTCAGCTAACGGAACAAACGAATTGTTACGATTCGACTTCCGTCAAACTTGTGTGAGCAATCGTGACCAGCTACAGAGTTCGTCTATCTGAGGAATATCTTTCATTTGAGGTGTCCAGAGTTGGAAGGACTGCAATATCCACTTCATAGAATACTACAAATCCATCTTTGCTCGTAAGTAGCTACTCCGCTCTTTTTTTTTTTCTTGCAACATCGATCCATTCGGACGGAATTCATTGGCAATGCGAATACCTCTTACAAGACGAGATGTGGATTGGCTTGGACTGATACTTCGAGTTCTGTCTGCAGCTCGCTACAAGCTCTGAGTTTGAGCTTGAGCAGCCTGTTCCATAACAGGAGTTGAGTTTCTTCTGGTTCTCAGGAATAAAGAAAGTTGCTGCACATCGATACTCATACTTTGAAAGGTCACGTCGCTTCAGGTGCAGTAATGCCAAACGTAATATGGACGACGGAACGAGGACCTGTAAAATAAGAGACTGTAAGAGACATACCAATGTCAACCTAATTCCGCTCTTTGAATTCATAATCTTCTTCGGAAGGTGAATTCAAAGTCTACGAATTTCATCACACTGGATCGTATCTGCAAGAACTTCATGTTTTCAACGAAATCAGAGCATGCAGTTTTCTGACGTTGTCATCCTGCAAAGCCTCTGCCTCTGATCTTCTGAAACTTCGTGTATTCTCCTTCTCTCTCTGATATAAATTGAAAGCCAGAACATGGAGTTCATGTGATTCGAGATATTTGAAGCACTCGAGATTAGCAAGATCTTCATTCGGACACTTTCTGTTCGGACTTCCTTCTGCTACAATACCACTTCTGGGGCCATCCATGATCAGAGCGACCTTTGTGTTTCTGAACCGACGCAGCCACCACTTATTTTTTATCTCTGTAGTCAAATCTGTACAAGCAGAGGAAAGGGTGCACGCAAGAGAACGCTTGTGTTTATAAATGTTTATCTTAGTGTGGCACAATTTTATTTTCATTGTGAGGACTCAGATGATGTTACCCCAGGCAAGTTTGTAAAACTGGACCCAATGCCAGATGAAGAAGCGAAACGTGAATTCAAAGACTGGAAAAGCTCAGAAAGATTTTGCAATCGTAGTATATCTCATCAGGTCAACATTGTGTTCTGCAGTGGCAAATCCTTTTTCTGATATCTACTAACTGTAGATAAACTTGGTATCTCATATGGTGTTCCCCTGATATTTAATCATGAAATTCTTCTAGATCTGGAATCCTCGCCTTAATATCTGGCCAGCAGTTGGCATATTCGTCCGTCTATTCATCACACCCCTACCAAATCAGTGCTCCACGTGCAGTCTCCCTTTCTTGCTCCAGTTGAGTCCAAATAGATTCAGTCCGAGCGAAGCATTTGCTTGAGGCGAAACTCAAATCGCATCGATTCGTGTTGTAAACTGTTGCGAGAAGGCTTATCTGATGGAAGGCTCCAAGGTTGAAAGTTTGACCAAGCTGTATGGAATTTTCAATCCCGGCTCAAAGCTGTCAACCCTCTCCATTAAATCAGATTTGAATTAGTGAGATAAGGCTAGCAGATTCGCGACCAGGCCGAGCCCTCAGTACTTCCATTTATCGTGATTAAAACTTCACAGCTTTGTGAGGCAACAGGTCAATATTACTAGACAATGGTCTGATTTTGACCTCGATACTTTTCATGCCAGCAAGTGATTCAGGGTTGCAAATGACCTTTGATTATCGAGATTCAGCTCAGTTGATCTGCTCATGTCTCGGGTCAAAGTGCAATGGCACTAATCTAGAACACTCAGACCTGCAATCGCCTCTTACTAGGACACGAGATCGGTACAGGATCGATATCATGTCTACAAAGATGAGTGACGAGTTGCCTCCTTCGAGTCTCGGGTGATCCTCAACGATTGCCCCTCACTTGTCCTGCTAATCAATCCAGCTTTGATCTCAATGCCTGAAGAATGCCCGAGCATGTGAACAACCGATTCGAGTCAAGCGGCAGGAGGTCCTACCAGATCCGAAGGAGGAGAGAATTGGAGGCAGAGGATGTGGTACAGCTGGCCACTGAAGAGGACGTCGACGAAGTGTCATTTCATATCTTCGTGCAGGGCATGTCTAACCCAAGGGTTAAAGGTTAACCTTTAACCGTTAACTTGTATCAAGTTAAGAATCACGCTTAACCTTTCACTCACTTTGCATTTATTCACCATTTGTTCAATTCTGGGAGTTATCTTGTGAGGGGGTTTGTGGACGAGTTCATTAAATCAGTTTCTGTTTTCAATCTCGTTCCAAGAGATAAATGTGGAATTTGATATGCAAATCTCTTATAAGTAGACGTATTTCTATTTTTCCAGGAAATTACTCCACCGTAATCATAACATCCCACATTAGCTACTAATATTTATTTAATTTAAGCTTCATAAGCTCATATCTTATTGACCATCATACGAACAATAGTGAAAGGAACAATAAGACGCATGATGTTAACTCTATTCAACTATGATCATCAATCATCCTAATGATATAGTTAGTCATCCTATAGATATAGTTAGTACATTCATAAGATAAATTCAACAATCTGTACTGAGTTTTAACCCTCTTATTTGAGCCAAAAACTATTTCACGTTGTCCTACTTCACTTACAAAGATACTCATTCCCAAGTCGTTTAGTTCAATCCTAGACATGATGATGAGGTTTGAACAAAAATGCCAATAAATCAATCACGGTATAAGGCTGTGATGTTTATTACTTTCTCCTTTCAGCAAGTACAACCAGAAAGAAACATAAATAAATACAACATCATCTTTGCGAGAGGATGTTGTATATTTGTGATTAAAAATATTAATCAACGAGATTTTTTAAGAAAAGATTAAATAATTTTTGCAGTTATTATCAAGAAGATTGATGATATTAAAAAGTAGACTGAGTAAGAAAATGTATCAGACTTGAAACTTTTTTGAAAATTTTAATTCTATGAGGTTTCATGTTTATTAAAAAAATCATATAAATATTTCATAATTGTGTATTTCTAAAAAATATTCATATGTATAAATAATAATTTTTCAAAAAAAATTCTAACAGAAGTGTAAAGATTATAATGATGATGATTTGGTGGTACTCTTTCAACTCATTGATTCAATGAGTTGAAAGAGTACTACCAAATCATTGGACACATACACATTCAAAATATTTTGACGTTCAGATCAAATAATTGTAAAAAAAGTAAAATTCAAATTAAATTGAAAAAAAATGCATCACTTCAAACAGCAAACACGTTTTTATATCTTTATTCATATATTGATGTACCAAGACTAAATTCATATATATTAATCATAACCTATTGTGTTACATTCACAAACAAAAAAATTTCAATATCAAATCAAAATTCTCATTGTATTATTTAGTTCAAAATTGTAAATCAAACCAAACATGTAGAGATATTTCTTGACTGAACATCTAGAACACAAACACACACAAAACTTCATACATATCAAAACGTTGACGCTCGATTACATGGTTCACCAATGCAAGTTCTGTCTACAAGAACACAAAAAAACCTTTATTCAAAAAAACTTTAAAGTGTCTATCAATAGCTTTAGCTAGCTCTGTTTTATAGTGAAATCATAACCTGAATTCTAATTAAAATTAAGTTATTTAAGTTAAAATAGGTCAAACAAACATTTAGTTCAGACAAAAAAATAACATCTATCAAATAGTGAAAACGTGGGGCAGAGTAACCGCCCGGAGCAGTTCATGGTAAGACGCGGGCAGTTTGACTGCTTCGGGAAGGCAGACCCGCAGTAGAATGTACGAGATTTGATAATAATAACAAACAACGTTAATTTCAAAATGAAAGATAGTAATTTAAAGATATTATTCACACTTTCATATGAAATGAAAGTTATTGGGTTGTAAATCATTGTGATTGCAAAGCTCAAATTTTAATCAATATATAAAGTATTATCACAAGAATACAACACATAACTTATTTTCACTTGACATAGTTTCATTTTTTTAGATTCAAGAATAATCAAACATAGAGATAGAAGCTCTTTTTTTTTAAATTTCATAAATCATCATGCATGTTACTTATATTTACATTGGATATTCTTAATTCATGTTATTCGTGATTTAAATTTTATCTTATGTATAATATAATAAACGGTAAGGGCTAGTTATACCTCAGTTTAGCCTAATCATACCTCACTCTAGGCTAATGTGCACTACTTCTCACACTTTCTCTCTGCCCGCAAAGACTGTATCATGGAACTCTAGTAAACATAGGGATAGCTCTGACCAATCACATAGCTCTATTCATTAGGGTGAATGATCATTAGCCCAAACTGAGTTATAACTAGCCACTAACTAAAAAAATATGTAACATCATTGGAAAAAGATTATCACATCAAAGGACATGTTAAAATCTTATTTCGTTTAAATTTAATATGTTATAATAAATTAAACATGAAATGTATGTCAAACGAAATATTTTATATTTTTTTTTCTCAATCTCTATTTTGATTTCAATTCATATTTTACAAAGCTAATTATGTATTTCAAACCATTACTTGGAATTTCCAATTTAGCAATCACTTTAAAATTTTAAAACTCAAAAAGTTTGATATGTAAAAAAGTAGCAGCGTATCCATTAATTCAATCCTTGCAAATGCGTGATTATTTTTTACAAAATAAACGTTTTTTAATCCAAAAGTAATTGTTTTCAAATAATTTTAAAGTTCCTAAATATGAATAAAACACAATACATATTTCTTTACACTCATCTGATGATATTTTTTTAGTCTAAATTAATGAAAAATAAATCAAGTGCTTCAATTAAAATATTATTTTCATCGTGATTTCAAATATTGCTACTAAGCATGTAATAATTCATCTTTCATTGAAATGAAAAATGAATTATTTAAAGCAAAATCGTCAAAATTATTAAAAATTGATATATTAAAACTTTTTATTTCAAAATATTTGAATTCAAAGATTTTAAAAATAAGTTTATTTTAGTACATCATTTGAAAAAATTAAAAAAATTAATATTTTTAGTTTAATAAAATATGAAAAATTAAGCATTTAATTGTTTATGAAACATATTTGATATGACAAAAGTTCTCCAATTCCTTACTATCAATTTGATTACAATAAATTGAATCAAATCACATACATACTTTTCTTTGTCAAAGCAATTTTTGTTAACGAAAATTAGATTTTTCTTGAACCACCTTCAATTGTTCAAATTTACATATTTTTTTAGAAAAATGCCAATAAAATTCGTGATTTCTTATTTGAATCATTTCATGTAAAAACTTGATATCTAATCAAAATATATGTTTAAATTTTAAAATTGGCCAAAATAAATATCCAGTATTAAAAAATCATAGTTTCAATCTAAATAAAAAAAGGTTATTTTAAATTTTTTAAATTTTTTAATAAAATATTTCATGATCATGTTATTGAATATATTGGCTAGGCTTGTTTTACTCCTCATCCGATAGTATGAAATTTTATGTAAATTTCTTTTTAGTATAAGTGGATGTAGCACATGTTATATATAGTCATAACATTTTTTACTATATATAACAAATATTTTTTAGCTTTTATTTAAAATAATTTCTATAGATATTCATCGTATTATTGAACGAATATTTTTAAGTTCAATTTTTATAATTACAATTTTGAAATTTTTTTGATATTTCATTGAAAATAAGGAGAATCATGAAATGAAATATTAATTTATAATTAAAGTTTTTCAAAACTTCAATAAAAAAAAATTACAGCTAATTTTCACGATTAAAATATTTAATTGTCTAAAATTTCACTAAATCCTTGGCTCCTCAAACAAGTTTTGCATTATAATGAACTTTATACAATTTATTGAAAAAAATGGAAAAAAATCAAGAGTTTCTTTCACTTAAAAGTACAGTTTAAAATGAATTTCATTAAACTTATTAAGTTTTTTACAATATTTTTTGTTAAAAAATTAGAAAATTCAATAAAAGAAAATCTCTTTGAAGTAACAAAATTGAAATTTCAGTTTTGATGTCTTTCCATGTTAAATTAGTTCGAATTTTAGATATAAAAAGAAATTTATATCGGAAAAATAAGATGAATGTATTCATCTTACAAATTGCAAAGAAGTAAAATTTGTGAACACATTTGCATCAATATTTTGCATTTATTAATTCATATTGTTAAGTTATTATTATATTTTATATTGCACATCTTCACAAAAACATCTTCATTATGTTCTTTTATTCCTTATATATATATTTTTTTACTTTTTTCCATTGAAAGTGTGTGTCTGATTTTTGTTTATTTGTCAGGAGATTTTTATTTTTATTGTTTCTCTATTTTGAATTATAAAAAGTTTTAAAGTGAACAGTGTACATGGTTTTAATCTCTTAAAGATTTTTTAGCGTTCAAATCATTAACAACACCAAAAAATTAATATTTTCAATAATTCTATAAAGCTTTCAATCTAAGATTTTCCTTAGTTTGAAACATAATTGATATATATTTACATCTACTTACTTTGTGTTTGAATTTTTTTTAACATAAAATTTATTTGTCTGTATATTTTTTTACACATCAAATCATCAAACTATCCAATTTTCCAATAAATTAAAAAATTTAAATATTTTAAATAAAATTTACTTCATAAAATTTACTGAATACCAATATAGAACTAACAAAAAAAAATATAATTGAAAAAAATAATTCTCCTCAAATTTAAAAAATATATAATTTCCTGAATTAAAAATTATTCTAAAAAATAAAATTATGCCTTTAATATATTTGATTTAATATACCTAATTCTAATCATTGATATCTTTTATTATTTTATGAAAGCTTTTCAATGCTTGCAAAGCAAAATACCTCTTGTTCTTTCAATCAAACTATGATTTACATTTTTCAATTTGGAAAATTTAAATCTTAACGGAATTTAATCTAAACATGCATATCTTTTAAAATTCATCATACTTTAGTTAATTTAACTTTCTCTTAAAAATTTCCATTATTTTTTCAACTTGTCATTTTTTTAAAAC